GCACACCTTTAATTGAATGAGGCTAATATGCTGCTTTTTTTTTTTTCTCTTAAATTATTTTTTTAATGGCTGATGACATTCCCTGGCTGCCGGGGAAAGCCGGGTCTGGCGTTTTGGCATTTGCTGCTGGTAGACCTGTGCCATCCCTCTCGCCCATCCTGCTCCCGTGGCAGGATGCAGCAAAGGACATCGTTTCCCCGTGCACCGTGAAATGCTGCATCCAGGAGGGCAACAGGGAAGGTGGCTTACAGGGATGCAGCTGTGGTTTAAGCTCTTGGCTTCAAAAGTAGTTTAAAAAAAGCAATATCCTTCTATGTGTCTATAATTGCTGGATGTTTGACGGTCGTAGAATTTAGTTAACATCCTTGCTGTTATATTGATTTTTAATGTTTATTTGCAAAACCTCAAACGTGTGTCCAAGTTCTTGAACGGCTTCCCAGACCGATCTGCTAGGCCACTTCCCCTCTGATATAAAATATCATTTTTACAGGCCAGCAAAACGGTATTTAATGGTGGCTGACAGGGCAGTGGTTAAGGGCGATATGTATTGGACACTTAAATGTTTCTATTATCCGACTCCTGGCACAGCCCATTGCGTTTTACTTGTGCTGGGAATTGCAGAAGAGTTTGCATTTTTCATCAGCATCACGACGACGCGGCCTTGGTGAGGACTCAGCCCCCATCTCTCCGGCTCCTCTGCAGCCAGCGTGGCATGGCCGTGGGTCCTGGCGCGGCATGGCACGGGGAGGGCGGCCGCTCTGGCAGCGGGGACAGCACTGTCGCTGGGGTGCCTGTGCTGGTGGTCCCCTCTTTGGGGTGGTCCCACATGGCTGCAGACCTGGGAGATGCTTCGAGGTCACTGGTTGGTTTTTTTAAGGCAAACGTTTGCTTTTTGTGTGATGCCGGGGAGAGCCACCGCCACTGCGCTCAGAGAAGAGGCTTTTAAGCACTTGAACGCTGCTTCCAGGGCAGGCATTTCCCCTCTTCTCATTAATGCAGCTGCAGGGTTTTACACACGAGCTGGGTAAATCCCTGGCTAAGTGGCGGCAGAGGAGCCCATCCAGAGCACCAGCCCCAAGCCAGTGCCGTGCCGGGACCCGTGGCTGCACCACGCCAGCACCGTGCCGGGACCCGCGGCTGCCCCACACCAGCCCTGTGCCGGCTGGGATGGCGGATGCATCCCATGGGAGCTTTAAAAGTAAAGCCGGGGCATCTTTGTGAGCAGCTCCCATCCCCTCCTTGTGCAAAGGCTGCCGAACCACTCTCAGGTCGCTTCTCCGCCGATGTCATTGCTGCCGGCACCTGAGCCCCTCCGGCACCGCACCGTGAGCCGGGTGATGCCGGGGCCACCCAGGGCTTTGCCACTCGCTCCCGCCACCCCCCTTCCTGCGCTCCAGTGCTGTGCGGGACGGGCTTAGGGACTTAACAGCCTGTGCCAGATACACACTTAAATAAGCAATAAATCTGGAGTTCGTTAGTGAGGATTAATTAGTGTTTGCGCAGGGCTTTGCCTGTGCAAAGCAGCAGACAGGAGCCTGGGCAGCGTTATTTAACTTGAAGCTTCACCGTGACCTTGTCGAGGTTGGGAGAGACTCGTCACCCAGATCCCATCGGATCCCACCACGGCTGCGCTGCGAAGGCGGGCGGAGGAAAGCCCCGTGTGCTCCCGGCTGCGGGGTCCGGGGGTGGCAGCCCCCCCGGGGACTCGGGGACAGGGGATGCTCCGAGAGCCCGGCAGGCAGAGCAGGCAGCTGAGTGCAGGCAGCAGGCTGCTGCGTGACGCTGAAGCGAGCGTCCTGGTGTTGCAGAGCTGCTCAGACGGGGCTGGGGAGCAGCAAGCCTGGGTCTGGCTGCGGGGGAAAGGCAGCGTTTGTGTGCAAGCGTTTATTTTGGGGGCTCTCCTGGTCTTTCAGGGGCTCTCCTGGCCCCGCAGGGAGCAGGGGCTGGAGTCAGGAAATTCTCCGTCTCGGCGCGATGATTTTTCAGCGAAGCGACGGCCGTGGCTGTATGGCACCGCTTTGCAGCACTGGACTGTGAAATGAGGAGTTAGTCATCCCTGCTCCTCCGGCTCTGCGTGGCCGGGGCCCTGCCGCAAGGGGACGGGTTCGGGTTCGTGCACACTGCTGCGGGGTCCTGGGGGGATGCCCCATGGGAGGATGCCCCCGGTCCATGGGGGGATGCCCCAGGAGGAGTGGGCAGCCCCCCCAGCAGCCCCGCTCAGACCCCGCTCCCAGCGCTGCAGGATTTATCACGCGGCTCAACTCCAGCCCTGGTGCGGGACCGGGAATTTTTCTGGCACCAGCTAAATAACAGAAACGCCTCCGTCCCCCTCACCGGGGAGGGGAGCAGCGTGAATAATGCATCGTCCTGCGGCTCACCGAGGCGTAGCCAGGGAGCCGGCCCAACCGTGGGGCTGAGACGGGGCTGGCAGCAGCACCGGTGTTTCCCACGGCAGCAGAACGCTCCCGAGTCCCCATGCCGGAGCTTCCCTCCGGCCACCCACCGGCCGTGCCGTCCCCATGTGCTCAGCCGGGGCTTTATTTTATATGGGGCGAGGAGAAAGCTCTCTCCCTGCTGGAAAACCGGCTTCAGGGCCGGCTAGCTGGCACCGCATCCCACGCTGCCTGCCGCAGCTCCACGCCGGCCTCGTCAAGCCCATCTCATTAGGCGCCAGGAAGTTTTTCTGTGCCACAGATGATATCGGGCTGATCCCCGGCGAGCGTCAAAGCTCCCTTCCAGAAGAAATCCCGTCTCTGCCTGTCCCGCACCCTGCCAGGCTCGGGACCTGCCCTCGCCCTGCCTGCAGAGAGGTTTTCAGCCATTGCACAGAGCAGGAGCCTCCTCCGGGGACGGGTTTGGTGCTGGGCATAGCACCCACTCGCTGCTGCGGGTGGGGATGCCCTCGTGGGATCCGGCCCGTTCCCATCGCCAGCGCTGGCAGGGGCTGTGGCGCCGGGCGAGCTGTGATGCGGGTGGAGGAGGGAATGGCTCCAAGGAGCAGCCTGGGAACAGCGTCGAGGACAATAAACTCTATCAAAGCCTCATTCATTGCGGAAGAACGCGGAGCACGAGTGCCGGCGTGTCTTTGTCCGCTCGCTCCCTCTCCCATCTGATTCCTCTCCTTCATTTCCTGCTGCTTTTGCCTTATCTCCCTCTTTTCAGTGTTTTCCTCCCCTCCCCAGCTCGGCGGGGGGCTGTGCCCCACGGCACCGCGCCGGCGAGCAGAGCGGTGTGCCCGTGCCAAGGGCCATCCTCCACCGGCGTGGGCTGGGGAGCTCCTAGGCTTGGGTTGGGTTGGGTTGGGTTGGGTTAGTTTCGCCTCCCTCCTTCCTCCCCTCGCATGCTGGCAGGGGCCGAAGGTGCCGTAACCGTAACGGTGCCGGCGCAGCCAACCACAAAGATGCGTCCAAAGTCCAGCACGCCACCGGCAAGGGAGCGGGATCTGCCAGAGAAAGCTGCGTCGTTCCCTCCGGGGATGGTGCCGAGCAGCGGCAGCCCCTTGGCGCTGGTTTCAAAGCCAGGTCCCTTGTGCCATCACACCGCGCTGCATCCAGGGCTGGTGGGGGCCCCGTTTGTAGGGGACAAGCCCCTTGGGGGTGCTGGCTCCGAAGACACTGTCCCCGGCCCGGGGATTGCTCAGTCCCCAAAGCTTCGTCATGGGGAGGGCGACCAGGGACGCTGCTGCGCGCCTGCCCTGTGCTCTTGCAAGTCACCTGCTTCGGCCGCTCTCGGGGTCGGTGACTGGGCAGGAGGGACCCCTGCCCGCACCCCTGTCTGAAGCCCCCAGACAAAGCCAGGGGCTGGGGGACACTGTTCCTGCCGCTGGCACTCAGTCCCCCCCCGGGCTCTTTTTGGGCAGGGGCGTGAGCCCCTGCCCATGCCGTCGGGCGACGCGCTGCCGTGCCGTGCCGTGCCGTGCTGTGGAGCCCATCGGGATGCCGCGGGGTGCTGGTGGCTCTGGGGGCAGAGGGTGGCCCGGGGAGGGTGAGCAGCACCCTGTGTCCTAGATGGATTATTTTGTACATCTTATATGTTATCTTCTATAGCTCACCGGCCTCACTGCTGCCAATCCCGCTCCACCAGACCTGCCGCAAAGCTCATGTGGGTGCAGCCGTGCGGTGCGGCTCGAGCCCTTCCCTGGCCCCTTCCCGCCCCCACGTCCTTCCCAAATCCCCGCTGCCATTTCCGCTGGAAAACTCCCCTTTTTGCTCAGCCTTTGAAGGGATTTTACCATCATGAGAGGCCCCCAGCAGCTGATGGGCAGCGAGCGGCCAGATGCCCTCTGGTTCCCTTTCCTGGGCATCTCATCCCGCAAGTGCTGTTAATCACTGATAACGAGCTCGTCTAATGAGCAACTTTTGTGCAGGAGCCTGCGTGAGCAGGGGCCGTGTACCCGGTTTGCACAGCTCTCTTAATTACAGAGCTCTTTGAGCTTTATTTTCCCCTCCCGCGGGCAGTGGTGGGCGGTGGGTGCAGGGAGGGGGTGCTCTTTGCGGCTTTTCGGGGAGACCTTCGATGCTTCCCTCTGCCAGCGGAGATCCCCGGGCAGCGCTGAGCTGCCTGGCACGGGGTGAGCGGGGATGGGGGGGCTGGCGAGAGGGGATGGGGTGCTCGGTGGGGGTGGTCATCTCGTTGGAGGGACCCTGGCCATCATCCCCCCCCCGCCAAATTCCTCTCCATCCCTTCCCCCTATAAAGCTGCCCCTTAAACTCAGAGGAGATGCTCAGCCTGGCACTGCGAGATGACTGCCGGCACGTCCTCGTGGGAGGATGCTCATGTCGGCCAGGGGCTCCCCTCAGGGTTTTGGCAGAGCTGGGACTGCGGCGATGCTGGGGGAGCCCACCCTGGGGTGCGGGAGCGGGAGGGCACCCACGGGAGTGGGGGTGCACCAGCTTTGGGGTGTCCGCTCTGGGGCGGGCTGCCTCCCCGCAGGGATGCTCATCACAGGGTGGTTTTGGGGGGCTCCCCTGACCTGTGCCCCCTCTCTGCCCCCACTGCAGGACAAGAACAGGAAGCTGAGGCCCCTCTACGACATTCCCTACATGTTCGAGGCCCGGGAGTTCCTGCGCAAGAAGCTCATCGGGAAGAAGGTACGGAGGGGACGGGGACGGTGGCGAAGGTCCTCGCGCATCCCCGGCACGGGTGGGTGCTAGCGAGGGGCCGGGAGCCGGCGCTGCCTGCGCCGGTGGTGCTGTGTGTGAGTCCTGACGGGTGACCCGGGAGCTCTCCACGGGGAATTGTGGGGAGCACCCAAAGCTGGAGAACCCTTTGAGCTGGCCCCTCCGAGGGGCTGCAGTCTCGCTTTCAGCTGCACCCATTTCCCAGGAATGCTGTGTACCTGCGTCGCTTTATATTTCCCTTTGTTTCCCCGGCATATTTTTCTAGGCTGGTTTAGAGCAATTCAGGGGAATGAAGAATATAATGTGCACTTAACTACTGAAGCACATGCTCAGGATGCAATTTTCAAATGCTCATAAAATGGTCAAATAAAATCAATTTCCTTCATAGCGAGGCTGCTCGCTGCTGCTCATTGAGGACTATTTCCATGCCTAATTGCATCTTTCCATTTCAGAGCCCTGTTTATATATTAAAAAAAAAAAAAAAAAAAAAAGGAAAAAAAATAGCAGCTTGCGAGACTTTTCTAATGGGAAGTCTGTCACTCGTTGTAGTCAAAAGCGGCTGCAAGGATGTTGCTGGCACTTGTGAAGTGAGCTCTGGTCTCTGAAATGGAAACCCATTTGTTTCTGGGAGGGTCCAGGCCTCGTGCCAGGCTGCACCTTGGCAGGGTCCCGGTCCGAGTGCTGCCAGCTACCCGGGGGTTACCGGCACCGGTTTTCCTTCAGCCGCCATTGCTCTGCAGTGCAGCGGAATGGGGTTTGCTCTCTCCCATCCTGCCATGCTCGGCTGTTGCTCAAAACCACCCTTTTTCTCCCCAAATCTGTTTGCATTCACCCTTGCACGCTCGCAGGTAGGAGCCGAGGGCAATGCCTGGCTGGAGCCCCCGGCTCCGGTCACCAGGTCCCCACCGCAGCTGGGGATGGGGCTGGCCCCGCCGGAGCCCTTGGTGCTTATGGTGCTGCCCGCGCCGGTCCTGGGTCCCCCGTGCCCACCCCGAGGTGCTGGGGGAGCCGTCCCCATGTGGGGCAGCCCCAGTCCCCAGCCGTCCCTGAGGCCGGTGACCGCTCTCCGCGTCCCCCATGCCCCTGCGACCGCCTCTGGGCGGCACAGGCTGCTGTGCCGGGGAGGAGGATGAAGGTTCTGCCTTCCTCCCGAGACGCCCAGCAGGGTGCCGTGGCGTGAGGCATCACGCTCAGTGCACCCAGAGGGGTGGGCGGCAGGATGCGGCCATCCGGAGGGACAGGCAGGAGCAGGCAGCGGCGCACCCTCGCTGCTCTGCTGCCGCTGGACCGCTGTCAGCAGCAGGAGGAGGGAAGCGGGACGGCAGCCAGCTGCCGCCATTCCTGTGCCCAAAGTGGCTGGTCGGGAGCCAGTGACCCCCAGAAATAGAAGCAAAAAGCCGTTTGGCTGCGAGTGCCGCTGGTCTCCATTTTTAAAGCTCCCCATAACCTTGCAGCGCGCTGCTGCGGCACGCGCCGGGCTCCTGCCTTCGCTGTCTTGGTAGCCTTGGGAGCCGGGCGCCCGCTTGCCTTTGATGTTGCCTCGTTTGCTTTATAAATATTTCCTTTGTCAGCTCCACGTTTTTCACTTCAGATTAATTTGATTGAGGAAAGCGATGAAAAAATCCTTTCCGTTAATGATCAAAACAGTCCCTCGAGGTTGGCGGCGCGTTCTGATTTGAAATGACAGCCTTGCACGGGGTGGCTCGCCCTTGCCTTCTCACGGCTCGCTGTCAGCATCAATCTTTGCGGCAAAATCCCTCTTTTCCCACCCCCTTTTTTAATATACTTTTAAAGCCCACCCCGGCAGGGAGCTAGCGACTTCTGAGAGCTGTCTGCTTGCGGGGAGATCAAACGGGGTGGGCTGGCACCGATGCGCGGTGCTGCCTGCGGTGTCGGCACGGCTCCAATACCGTGCACGTTTGCAGGGGTGCCCCGGGGAGCCCTGCCTGCCCCGGGGAGCCCTGCCACCCTCCGAAGGGTGTCCCTCCCTGCAGAGTCCCAGGGTCGGCTGATGTCCTGGATCCTCTGGAGATCCAGATCTCCAGGATCCTTGGGCAGGTCCGGCAGTCAGAGCGGTGCCAAACCCTCCGGCCTCACTCTTGGCATCCCTGTCTGTGAGTCCCCGTGGGCTGCGGTGGCCCCTTGAGCTGCTGCCCCACCGCCGAGCACCTTCTGGCCCCCTTCTCATCCCCTCTCCTGTACGGGCGTGATGGGTGCCGAGCGGCTGTGGCCGTGCTGGCACATCCCCGAGGAGCGGTGGATGCAGGGATCCTCCCCATTGTGGGGGACTTGAGGTTTGGGGTCTGCCCTGAGCCTCCCCAGCGCCCACCCCAGCCTGTCCCCCAGGGCTGGGGCTCCCCTGCCCGGCTCGGAGCCACCTCCTGCCTTCCCGCTGCCCTTCGTTTGCCTGGGAAGAGCTGGCACGGCTTGACGGCGTGACAAGCCCTGGGAGGGATCGCTGCTGGCAGCTGCTCCAGCGGAGCGCGATCATCCCTTTCAAGATTGATGAATTGAATATTAGGAATAATTAGGCCAGGATGAGTTTTCGGTCTTGCTGCCGGTGCTTCATCAGCCGCCTCCTCAGCCACAAGCACCGCGTGTCTGTCCGGGCTTGGCCGGGCTGTGCCCGCTGCCTGCACCCTGGGGGCTGCCTGCCGGGGAATGGATTAGGTCTTGTCTCGTGGGTGCTGTCCCTGCACTGTGGGGACCTTCCCTGAGGGTGATGTCCCTGCATGGTGGGGACCCTCCTCGTGGGTGCTGTCCTTGCACAGCGGTGACCTTGCCTCGTGGGTGCTGTCCTTGCACAGCGGTGACCTTGCCTCGTGGGTGCACGGTGGCAGCTCTGGGGGGGGCTGGTGTGACACTAGAGGGAGCTGCACTTTAGGAATTATGGAGCTGGATGTAACCCCCCCCCCCCCACCCCACCCCACCCCACCTCATCCCAAGGCAAGCAGCACCCACTCCAGGGAGCGGGAACTGCTCCTGGCAGCCCGGCCACCCCCTGCCAGGGTGACCGCTGACACCCCCCTCGCCGTCCCCTGCCCCACGCCGGGCAGCGTGGTCCCCTTGCCATCCCGGAGGACGTTTGCTTTAGTACATGGACATGGAGCGGGGTTGGAACAAGCCCCCCGGGGCCGTCGCCTGCCCGTGCCCAGTGCCACAGGAGAGCAGCCCCTGCCCAGACCCGGCTGCTCCGGTCCTGGCACGGAGGGATGCGTTTCGCCAGCAAGGACGAAAGTCCTCTGGCTGTAGCGAGCCGTTTGTCCTCAGCTGCCCTCCTGTCCTCGTCCTGCCACCTCCCGGTGCGTGTGCTCCGGCTGTGCCGCAGGCAGCGTGCCATCCGGTGCAGGCAGCAACACTGTGAAGGCAGCAGGGGCCGTGTTTGGGGTCAGGCGCCTCAAAATCCCATGAGATCCCATGATCCCTTCTCCTCTCTGGTTTGGAGGTCATTGCCATCCCTGCTGGCTCCAGGCAGATGAAATTAATTGGAAATTAATAAATCTTACTGCTGTCTATGGCTGCCCCAGTATATCACGCTCCTGGCTGCACGGCAGCTCCCGTGGGACATCCCTTTCGTTGCCGGAGCCGGCAGGGAAGCTCTCACCAGTGTGTGGTACCATCCCCGTCCCCGGCTCTGGGTGGGCAGCAGGGACCTGGAGCAGTGGGATGGGCTTTGCCACGGCTGCTTTTGTGGGTGTCTGTGGGCATTTGAGGGGAGCAGGGGCTCGGGGACCTGGAGGTGGCTTGGCCGGGGGGGTGGCTACCGTGCCGGATGGTGAGTGCAGCCGTGGCCAGGAGAAGGGCTGCGGTGGGCGGGCAGGCGGGCAGGCAGCAGCCCGTGTCTCCTGCCCTGTGGTGGTGCCCCGCTCTCGCCGATGCCCGTGTGTGCTGGCCCTGGGCAGCAGCCTTGAGGGGGTGTGAGTTTGCCAGGACAAGCGAGCAGCCAGCTTTTCTGGAGCTGCCAGGCACCCTGCTGCCTGTCCCACCACCCGTCCCTCTGTCCCGCCGTCCCTAAGGGCTTTCCAGCTCCGGCTTTTTCCAGCACGAGCCCCAGTTCATGACTGGGAGACCCTGAAACCCAGCCCGGGGGCAGGGGTGGCTGTGTTCGCCCCAGGCTGCCGGCACCAGGCTGCCGGACGCTGCCAGCCCGGCACAGCGGATGGGGGCCTTTGCTCCCACCTCCTGTTTTCCACCCTCTTTTCCGTCTCCTTCCCCGGCCGCTCGTCCCCTGCTCCCAACCCTCCAGTCCTGCGGCAGGAACGCCGTGTCCCCCCGCTCCGCCGATGCGCCGTCTCCCCGTGCTGCGGCGCAGAGCTGCCCGCGCTGCCCGCCGGCTGCCTGTCCTGCCGAAACGCAGGGGCAGCGGCGATAGGTTCCCCCGGGCCCCTGCAGTAAAAATAAACGGCTGCGATTGCTTCCAGAAATAATTCCCTCTGTCCCCCCTCCCTCCAGAGAAAGCACCGAAGGGAGAAGAGGAAGAAACGTCCCCACGGCCGCGGCCGTTGCCTGCAGCCGCCCCTTCGCTTTCGGCTCGTGCAGCACTTAGCACGTTAGGAGAGGAGCTGGGCTATGGGGAACTGCATCCCAGTTCCCAGGCCCCTGGAGATAGATGGAGTATAATATATTTCTTCTCTTGCCCTTTCATCAAAGCAGCATGAAGTTTCTAAAGCTGGGATTTTTACAGCGTGTTGCTTTTCCCTTTAACAGACAGGATTTGTTTTTCTTGACTTCTGTTAGCTCTCGCTCTGCTGATGCCGGCTCCCTGCACCACCGCAGCATGCGCCCGGTGCAAGAGCCGCCGCGGTTTCTGCAAGGCCAGCCACGGGAGTGACCCAGCATGGTGGAATTTGCCCAGTGGCACAGGATGAACCGGCTGCCACGGCAGCGGCAGCGCCCGCCGGCGTTCCGGCTGCCGTGTCCCGGTATGGATTTGTCTCCCGCGGTGGAATAAATCTCTGGTGCGCGTCGGG